CAGCCGAAGGTAACCTCTGGGTGCGAGGCACTGAGAATCGATACAGTCCGAGTATTTTTAGGGACTATTGATGGATTGCTGTATTTTGTGCTTAACTCAAGTGCCAGATGCCCCAGAGGTGACGAAGATGAACTCCCCTTTGCTGAAGCAGATCTAGGCCATCACACGCGCAGAGGGCTCCGGGAGGGCTGGGATTGCTTTGAGGTTCTGGAGGGAAATTTCTGTGTTTCTCAGCAACTGTCTGCTGATGAGGACTTAGTACTCTGCCTGCCAGAGCAAAGTGTTATCCAGCTGATAACCTCCCAATCCCAGAAACACATAACCATGAAGTGTTAGACCACATTGTACAATGGCAAAACAATTCTCGGGATCTGGAATGATCTGGAACACAGAGGCACTAATGGCCTCTAGTTCTTCTCTGAAGGCCGCCCCACAGAAGGTGGGGGCCATGGTAAGCTATGCTTCTGTCAGCAAGCTGAAGCTCTGGGTCTCTGACATGACTCTCAATTGCTAGCAGGTTTCTCTCACACTGCACCTCATTTGCATCTGGGACATCAATTAGCATGTTTGTTGAGGCTAATTGAATGAAACTCAATCATAGCTCTTAATTGCTTGACTATGTGAAAAGAAATCACATTAATGCAGCTAATTAAGTGTACGGCAATAGATGCAACGTAATTAGGAGTGAAATGTAAAAAACAAGGGACGGCAAGGATGCAGGCGCGGTGCAGGGGGACAGCGAGGCGCGGCTGTCGAGCTGTTGGCGCGTTCGGGAACGGGTCCCTTTGCTCTGGTGCCTGCTTGGAAAAAAATAATCCACATGATAAGCGTGGACAACTTGAGAAGAAAAATGCAAATAGGTTTGCAATTACTACTTTTTCAAGCTGTTGAGGGGCAGGAGATGGCACCTCTGGGGGGCCTGGCTCTTGAGTGGGCCCCAGGGACTTGTTAAGTGCTGTTTAAAAGTACTTGGCTTTGAATTAGCCTCATGCCTTGTTAAAGCCCCCCCCCTTTTTTTTATCTTCGATCAGCATTTTCTGCAGCTAACTTGGGGCAGGGTAGCTGAGGAGTACTTGCATATCAAAGTCAAGCTTGCTGTGTTTCTCTTTCCCTCAGACTCTGTAGCCCTCTTTGCTTCTCTCAAGATGCCTCATTGTTTAGTGGTTGCAGCTTTAATTCCCCAAGTACCAAGCTGGGCAGAGATGAAAAGGCTTCGCTTTTGAAGAAGCAGTACCCCACTCACTGGGGCAGTTACTTGTGGGAGGAGAAACTAGAAGCAGCCGCCCATGGGTCTTGCTGTCCCACCAGATGGAGGACTTTCATTGGCTGGCAGTTGTGTTGGTTTTAGCAGTTCTTTTCCAGGGCTTGAAATACAGGAATCACCAAACAGATATTCTTGTTTCTGTTTGTTGTGTGTATACAGAGGTCAATATCAGGTGTCTTCTCTACATCAATTTTTGAGACAAAATCTCTTGCTGCATCTGGAGCTTACCTATTCAGCTAGGCAGCTGGCCAGCCAGCCCCAGGAATCCTCCTGTGTCTACTTCCCCAGCAGTGCTAGGATTATAAGCAGACAGCACTGGAGACTATTACACCCATTCCTCCCTCATGCTTGCCTGGCAAGCACTTTTCATCTGAGGGCCTCCCAACGCTGATAGTCCACTTTCTTCAGCCAGTTCTAAAGTTTCAGGGCCTAACTCAAGCAAGAAAACAGATCGGGCATCCCATGCTGAGCTCAAGATAAATGTTTTCCATTGATGGCACTCAGATCCAGGGAGCAGACTCTTTATATTTCTATAATTTTAAATAAAATATCCTGGTTATTGTATGTTAAAACATGTCTATTAAAAGGGCCCACGCTGGGGTTTAGTCACTCTCTGATTAGCCTCATTTTAGAGCTCATAAGCAATAAATGCTCAATTACACTCCTATTATTGTATTTTAATTTGTTAAGAATCGGCATTAAAGGGGAAAGTTGTAGCAAGTTGATATTTTTAAAGGAGTAACTGTGCAAGAAGAAATTCATTATTTACAAGCGTTAACTTTGGTTTTGAAACTTAGGGTTGCATCTTGGCAGGTCTCAGTGGGAGGCATTAGAGGTCCTTAAGAACAGCTTTCTTTTCAAATAGCCTGCCCTGGCCCGAGTCACTTTGTTCTGCAATGGGCAGGTTTTGTTTGCCATCCTCAGTGCTAAGCACCCTCCCACCTGAGTCTCCAGATTTCTTCCAGTCCATTGTTTCCTTCCACTTGACTTGATGACAACTTTTCCATCTTTGATCCACATCCTTCCATTGAGAGCCGGAGGGGCATGGTGAAACCGCTCACATCATGGTGGCCAGGAAGCAGAGAATTCAACTAATAGGCTTTTCCCTTCATTCAAATGCCACCTATATCCACGACAGGCCCTCCCACTACAGCTAATCTGGAGACTAGTGACAGACAAGCTTGATTGAAAGTGTGGTTCACTCCCATCCTAAGCACTCCCTCAATTCAACCAAGATGACCAGCAAAGTTAACCATTGTAGGCTTCTTCCCAGCTCTTGGTCTGCTGGGCTCCCTCCAATGAAGTTAGACAGTGGGTGTTTCCCAAGGGTTTGGGGAACCTTGTCTTGGCATCCAGGCCTCTCTTACTGTGGCCACGTAACTGCACTTTGGCCACTGTCTTCCTGCAGACCAGGTCCTGTGATGCTCGCCCTTTTTGTCTATTACCCTTCTGCACCTGTTAACCGGACAGCTGGGCGTTCCCAGCAACCGGCTCACTTTCTACCCTGTTGGCCCCTCAGGCAGCACATGGGATTGCTGGTCAGTCACTCTAAAATTACCCTGACCTGAACTCCCAATCTTTCAAACAAAAATTGCTGAGTTTTAGAATCTAAAATGAACTGACCAAGCATCTACTTCCAGCGCACTGCTCCTTCCGAGTCCTACCCCCTGCTTAATGTTAAAGTGCTTGAAATGTTATTTATCTAAGAGTGGTTGAGAATAGATCCTTTCCTATTGTGTGAGAGGGTTAATGTGTCCTGGGTGTGCAAAACACTGTGTCTAGAGACAAGGGGCCTTGTGATGATGACGACAGTGGTAATGCAGTGCGACGGGTGTTCCCAGCAGTCCTTGCGCCCTGTTCTCAGTTGCTGTGCTTGTTAGTTTTCAGTCACTGTGACAAATACTCCCGAGGCAGTTGATTTTGAAGGTAGAAAGTTTTGCTTTGGCTCACAGTTTCGGAGGCTTGAGGTGACATCATTTGGGTCTTGCGTTGAGCCTGTGGCAGCCTGGCTCACCATGGCAAGGGGTGGATGCCTGCTCAGCTGGAAGCTGTGCAAGGGGAGGGAGAGAAAGACGGAGGGAAGACTGGGCTCCCAGGGTCCCTCTCAAGAGCACACTCGTAGTCACTCTTCCCACGAGGCTTCATCTCTGAAAGTTTTACCCTCCCAAGAACACTGCAGGCTGACAGCCATCTCTTGGCACATCGTCCTTTCTTGGACACTGTGAACCCTAGGGTCCCTTTGTCTGCCCACCCCACTCACATCAGCTGTGCTCAGTGCTGTTTTCCCTGCCTTATGGGGGTTATTAAGTGACTTTGCCCAGGCTCCCCTCTGATAACTGCTGGGTGCTCACCTCCACCCTCTGGTAACTACCGGGTGCTCACTCCACCTCCACCCTCTGATAATACTGGGTGTCACCTCCAGCGTGCAGGGGTGCAAGAGCCTTTTCTTTAGGATGGGAGGAAATCGCTTAGAGAAACAGCACTGAAAGAAGACTACTGTATTGGTCACTTTCCCTATTGCTGTGACCAAAACCTTAAAAGAAGCAAGTTCAGGCAGGATGGGGTTTTCACTCTGGCTTGCAGCTCCAGGGACTACAGTGTCATAACAGGGAAGGTCCCATTGCACTCCAGAAGCAGAGTGAACAGAAAGTGGGGCTTTTACCCCCAGGCCCACCCCTAGCCATCTACTTCCTCAAGCGAGGCTCTGCCTCCAAAAAGTTCCACAGCCTTCCAAACAGTGCTCCTACTCAGGACCAGGTGTTCAAGCCCATGAGCCAGTGGGGACATGGAAACCACAGCATGCATATTCTTGTTAACATTTGCTCGTGAATTCGTGTTCTTTTAATACCTTACCACTGATACCTAAGATAGCTTCCTGCTCTTTAATTAAACACTTGACTTTGCACATGATTTCCATGAATTCCCACCAGACAGCTTCAGTCTTACCTAGAAGCTTCATGGTACTCCCAGTTGAGATGCAGAGATTGTTGTGAAATAGTGTGTGTGGTAGTCCATGGACTGTCACCTGAGTTCAGAGGGCAGGCCCCAGGTTCCTAATGTGCATCTAGTAAGAATTCGAGGGCTGGAGACATGGCTCGGTGGTTAAGAGCACTGGCTGCTCTTGCAGAGGACCTGGGTTCAGTTCCCAGCACTCATATGATGGCTAACAACTGTCCTTAACTCCAACTCCAGGGGTTGGGCATGACGTGACACAGATGGCCTTATATATACAAAACACTCATAAAAATAGTTTTTCAAAAAGAGTTTAAAGAACTAGGATTCTGTGTGTCAGTGGTCTCCCCCCACCCCCCAGGAAGGCAGCAGCAGCAGTAATATCCTATGTTTCCAGTCCTAGGGTTAGGTCAGGACACAGTTGCAAAAATATTGATTGATTGATTGATTGATTGATTGATTGATTGATTGATTGGGGTCTTTTTGAGACAGGCTCTCCCTGTAACTTCAGGTGGCCCGGAACCTACTGTGTAGACCAGGTTGGACTCAATCTCACAGAGATATACCTGCCTCTGCCTCCTAAGTGCTGGGATTAAAGGCGTGCCTGTACCACCACACCAGGCTTAAAACTCAGGTTTAAATATACGGAGGATGGCACCCACCCCTACAGATGGAGATCTCATCACAGGATCCCAGCTTGTGCAGTCTGCTAGGGTCTTGTGTCCTACCTAGACTGTTGCAAATCCGTTCTTTAATCTCTCTTGGGTGTTTAACATTTGCACAGGATTACATGCAGAATGTTCACGGTAAAGAAATCGACCTCCTGAGAACCACTGTGAAAGTCCCAGGCAAGAGGCCACCCCGAGCCACGTCCGCCTGCGCACCCATCTCCAGCCCAAAAACCAACGGCCTGTCCAAGGACATGAGCAGCCTCCACATCTCACCAAATTCAGGTAAGCTCACGGTCAGCGGTGAGGCCACAGGCGGGGTCACACTCAGAGGTGTAAAGCCTCACCCATTTCTTCTCTGCCTTTGGGTTCTCTGAGGGCCAAGCAGACACGTGAAAGCACCTAGACCCACAGCTGCATCAAGTATCTGGGGCTTGCTCGGGTGTTGAAAGCAATTTCACACGTGGCTCAGTTATTCAGGGGCTTTCAGAGAACTAGTGAACAGTACTCATGGGCTCAGTTCAGTCATTTCTGGTAACTGAAGTGGGAAGGCGACTTGGAGTAAAACGTGAAGACCTCTGTACAATTGAAATGTTTGTTTTATATTTTAACTGCTATGTCATTCTCTAATGCGACTTGTCTTTAATAACCCGAGAGAATAACTTTTTTTTCCTTTAGAATTAAAGTTTTGTTTTTTCAAAATTTGGTGTGTTTGGAAACCATCAGCCTCGCAGGGTTGCGTTGCATACCATGTGGCGTCCTGCTTTGTTTTTACTGAAGGACCTTTCTGGGTGATTGACAGCTGCAGCCCCCCTCAGCACCTAGACTTCCTTCCGGAAGGCTCAACATTGCTTCCTTAAAGGAAATGGCTCCCTCTCCCACCTCAGACTTTGCTCTGCAGGAGATGTTAACATGTCGGCTTCTTGCAGTGCTGTGCTGCCCCCTTCTGAGACATGGGGTGCTTTCAAAGACCCCGGTGTACACTGCACAGGTGTGTGTGCTGCACAGGTGTGCGAAGGATGCTGGTTGGTGAAAACCGGGTGACAGAAAGGAGCCAGAACTTGCTCCTTTCCACGTGCCCCATGGTGTCATGTGGTGTTGGGCAAGTCACTGAATCCAGTCTTTACCACCTGCCTACCTGTGTTATCCACGGAAGTGCCAGGAAGTGGGCAAAGATGATCCTAAAGCAGGCAGTTAATAACTTCAAAACTGGCTTCTCCTAAGGAACATCTGTTCCTTCCAGAAAGGTGAGAACATTGCTCCTGTTGTCACCTACAACCTGCTGCTCTTTTTCCCAAAAGATTGGTGTTTCCAGGTCGGGGTGGGAAGTGAGGAAGTAGTGCCTGGGGAAGAACCCCCGCAGTGAGTACAAAGTCAAGTCTTGATTACTACATTACGTCACATCACTCGTTCATCTATTCAAGAAATGTTTATCTGTGACCTATTTTGTACCAGCACCACAGCAGCTGTCAGAGGGACACACAGTGGGGCGGGATCTATGGAAGTGGGGCAGGACTTAGGGCAGAGGGGGAGTGCTCAGTTTAAGAGGGAGCAGGAACTTGCCAGCTTCCTACATAAGGGACCCACACTTTTGAGTCCAAGAAACGTTGCATAAAATTGAGATTTTGAACTTCTTGGACTTGAGATTTACACTCTTTAGTGCTGAATACCAGCAGTTCTGAGGAGCAAAGTGCTTCACATCAGTGGAAATACAAAAAGCCACACACCAAACAAAACCCTGGAGGCCTCTTCTCCAGGGAAGTGAATTGTGTCCTCAGAAGGCATTTTCCAAAGCCTTGAATTTGCAGACAGCCCTTGCTACTGTGCAGATTGAGGGTCTGGGACATAAACAAAACCTTTTGCATGGCACACCCCTCAGTTTATGACAGCAAATCTCCAACCCCCCACCCAATTAATCTATAAAGGTGCCTAGCTGATTTTCTTGCTCTTTGGGTTTGAGTGGTAACACTGCCTCTGTGGAGGAGGAGGGGGCCTGGGAGAGGCGGTGTGGTATTCGGGATGTGGCGCCCTGAGGCAAGGTCATCCAGTCTTTCCTGAGACCACGGACCACGCCCTCGGGTGTTGGCCAGTCTAGTCCCTAGGTTATAAGCCTACGCCATGGGTCTGGCACTCTGAGAGAGCTGCTTTACCAACTTTAATTTACATTGACCTAAACCTGACCTTTAATCTAAAAGGACACAGTCTTTCTTGCTTAAGAAATTGATGCCTTTGCCAGGTTTGAGTGTTTATAATCTAAATCGTGCTCTGAGAATTTGAGCTTCCTGTATTTGGAGCAAGAGGAATTGTGACTCAGCAAAGTGTGTAAAACAAGCTGATGCGATGTTTAAGTGGCAGACCTTGGTAAAAATGGCTGTCTGGGAGCCGCTTGCCAAATCGTTGGATGGTCCTCAGCTTGCACTTGACTCGCTGCTGCTGCCTGGGCGTTTGAGGGTCTGTGTTAACTGGAGATGCGCACTGCCCTCCAGTTCTCTTTCCTGATTCACTTGCTGCAGATGTGTACACGCGTCCACTGGACGTGTACACACCTGAGCGTCTGCCCTCAACGCTCACCGTACCACAATGAAGACCCATGAGCAGCGTGGCTCAGCCAGGGGAGCTGCTTGTCGAGCCCTTGACATGTATTTCCAGATCAGCTTCTCGAAAGATTTTATACAAAATACTTACCCAGTGCTGCTCTTAACTTCAGAATCCTCAGGGACCACATAAAACGGTGCCCCCGTGCTGTGTCTGTCTGATCTCTTCCATCAGTTGTGAGTCTGGGTGCCTCACAAGTTTATTGTTTGTGTGTCTTGTGTTGCAATTACTTAGCTGTCTCATTTGCATGTGTTTTAATAGTTCTTTCTTTTTCTTGTTGATGTGGAAGAACTCTTTATGTATTTAGGATATTAATGTCAGACAATATGTTTCTCAGACCTACCCAGTTTTTCTTTCTGCATTTTATGGTTTTATTTTCAGATAGTGATTTTCTGTTTTTATTCCGTGTAATTAAGGCCTGTCTTACACGTCTGCTGTAAGCTGTTAAGTAAGCCTTTAATAGTGTGGAATCTGCTCACAGTTCATGTATGTTTATGTCCAAGTATTAACGGTTTTATTTCTGTTTCCTTTTGTTTCCCCTTTTAAAAACATAACTAACCTCTGAGTCACCCTTCATTGGTTTGGGTCCATTATGTGCTGGAGGAAATATCCGTGACTTGTCTCTCCACACAGCTGACTGTCCTTTCTGTCGGATTGTCTGCATTAATTCTTCACGTCTTTGTGTACAACTAAGTCATGTGACCAAATGTGTTGTTTCTGGATGTTCCAGTCCCTTCCACTCACTCCTCCCCACCCCATCTAACCCTTGTAGCTGTGTCGCACTGTCTTGGGTTCTCTCTAGCGACATAACAGTTTGATGTTGCACTTTTACCCACTAGTTTTTCATGGCTGTTACTTACTTAATTTTGCTAATTTTCCCATGAACCTCACAGTTATACCCCACACACATACCAGCACCATCAGTATTTATTTTATTTGTGTTTTGTGAGACAGGGTCTCATACACCTTAGATTGGCCTAGAACTCAGCCTACAGCTGGACCTGGCTTTGAACTTGGTCCTTCTGCCTCTACCCTCCAAGTGCTGGGATTACAGGCCTGTGTCAGCACACCTGCTTTATGCAGTTCTGGGGATGGAACCCTGGGCGTCGTGGGCAGGGGCTGTACAGCTGACTGCACCCTGGCCCTGGTTTTGTTGTAGAGAATTCTTTGCTTTGTTGGCTGACCACAGAACACAGCTCTTCCCCAGTGTTTTCACGTTGGTTTATGGCCTCCACGTAGCTGTGCTTTTCCTTTGTGTTTTTGGTGCGTCGTGAGGCTGATCTTTTTGAAGGGAGTCTATTACATGATCCCAGTTGTAAGACAGAAGAGAACTTCTAGCTTTTATTTTTTTTTTCGCCCAGCCATGTAATTAAAGTCTTGTTAGTTGGGTTAGCTATGGATGTATCTCGTGATTTTGATAATGTGTTCCCAGTTCAGATATCATAATGCCTAACTCCATTTGGTGCTGACTTAATTCCCACCAACCAGTTATTTGGATGGCTTCTTCCCCTCCTGTGTCCTTCATCCACTGTTACCTAGTCTGCTGTGTGCCTAGCCCTGACTAATTCTCTGAACACTAGGGAGAATGGGTCAGTACAAAGCTGTCCCTCCAGGAGCCTAGGACCTCAGTGGGATGGAGGCATCAGGAGATAAATAAGCACACTGATAAGATCATTGGAGCAAGTGATCAGTGCTGAGGGGCAAACTGGATCAGCAGCTGTTATCTGGGGGTGTTTGTATTTCCTTATGTATCTAAGATATTAAGCCAGGCGTGATGGCACACAACCTTAGTTCCAGCACTGGGGAGGCAGAGACAGGCAGATCTCTGTGAGTTCAAGGCCAGCCTGGTCTACATAGTGAGTTCCAGGACAGCTGGGGCTACAGGGAGACCTTGTCTCAAAAAGACCAAAAAATAAAATAAAAAGATATTCATGTTTTACAATACACTTACCAGATATATCTGCAGTTTATTTGACTGGTGCAAGTTACGGTCTTTCCGTATAGAGACTCTCTCCTTCACTGTGGAAGTGTTGACTACATGTCACATTGAAGTGCTAGAAATGTGATGCTCCTTATGCCTCTGCTCTGGCCTCGAGGAAAGGGAAGGACGCACTGTCAGCACAGCCACCTTGTGTTCCTCACGGTCCCTATGTACCCTGTGTTCACCGTGCTGCTCATGAACGTCATGATCCTCATGTGTTTCTGTGTACCTAGTGTTTCCCGTGTTCCACGTCTTCCTGTGTACCTTGTGTTCCCCATATACCCTGTGCTGCCCGTGCTCCCTGTGTTCCTCATGCTCCCCCCCCCATGTTCTCCTGCTCCCTGTGCTCCTCATAGACTTCATGGATGTCATGTACTGACCCCACATTTTGCTTTGAGGCATAGCAGAGGAGCTTCTGGGAGGCGGAAGCCCTGAGCTCCTGTGGCACGTGGTAACAGGACCAAGGGTTGAGCTCCAGAAGAGCCACCTGAGGTGTCCCTGCTGCATCCGCGGTGAGGCCAACCCCGAGAGGGGAATGTGGCGTGCCTGGGCAGCAGAGCTGCCGCTGGGTGTGCTGGTACAGGAAAGAGAGAGACTGAGCAAAATGCAGAGTCTGCCATCAGGGAGCGCGGAAAACAGATGGAAGGCAAGACTAAATAGCATCAACAGACATGTCGGTGCTGTGGGCCTCTGGTCATCCGCCATCTCA